TGTTATGTTTCATATATATTCATTGTGATGATATTTCAATTTAAGTCACGCGAGCCCTCAGACGTTTCCGCTGTCTGGTTCGGGGGTGTGACACGACGAGTCCAAGCTGTTTAAAGAAAACCCTAAATTTTGGGTTTGCCCCCTATATAAACGTCATTATCCGCCCCAGTAGCCTCCCTTAGCACCATAAAAGAACGTTTACGGCCGCAAACCCTCTTGTGAGTGAAGCAAGATCAATTGGGAGCTTATCCTTGAGATTTTGGGGAGGATTCCAAGCTTGAAGAAGAAGTATCAATGGGAAAACACTAGATCTAGCATCTAGTTCGTCTTGGGCATTGATTTGAGGTATAAATCTGTTACCTTAAGCATAAATTCTATTTGAGAGTTGTGACCAACTTTGAGGAAATGGAAGCAAGCTTAGATTTGGACCTATCACAAGGATATGGTTCCAGATCTGGATCTTCTTAGGCCCCAAATATCATAAAGTTGCATCTTTTATTGAGCTCATTCCCTCTCCATGCATAAGAATCTTGTTTGAAGGTTAGTTTTGGTGTTATGGCCATGTGAGGCTATGCATGCATGTAAAGTTTGCAACTTTACGTGATATCTCCACTAGGAGAGTATGGATCTGAAGTTTGAAACCTTAAATCCCACTGGAAAGAACCGATTACGTGAGAACTCGTCGAGTCCCTCTGGTGACTCGGCGAGTCGAGAGGGTTCACGGCCAAGGGTTTACGGCTAAGGGTTCACAGCCAAGGGTTCACGGCCAAGGGTTTACGGCCAAGGGTTCACGGCCAAGGGTTCACGGTAAGGGGTGTACGGTTGGTGGTTTACGACCGTGAACATCAAGGAACTCGACGAGTCCCTCGGGTGACTCGGCGAGTCGGTGAGTGAAGCAGGGAACCCGACGAGTAACTGATTGTACTCGTCGAGTCAAGGTCAATATGGACTGTTGACCTTGACTATAGACCTTAACTTTGACCAGGGTTGACCCTGGGGGTATTTATAGGATTATGCTGAGTTATTTACTCATTGATTATAGGCAGTTTGGGAGGAGCAACGTGGGATATATCTGACTACAGTTTTCTGGTTCAGCCTGTGAGAGGTGAGTCTTCTCACCATATCAATGGGTATAAGGCACCAAGGCCGGCCCATTTTATGAGATACGATTATTGATTGAATGTGCGATATGATAGTTGTTATTTGCATGGAAGACCACGCGGGGGTTCCCGTGGCTTTTGGTGTAAGACCTTGGAGGGTTTCCATGGCATCCTAAAATATTTGCTTGTATAATTTGCATTATGTTTTGTATGGTAGGAAGACCTTGTGGGGGTTCCCAAGGCAGGAAGACCTTGTGGGGGTTCCCAAGGCAGGAAGACCATGTGGGGGTTCCCATGGCAGATAAAGACCACGTGATTGTCGAATGCATGACTTTTGTGACTTATGTAGCGTATGGCTAATTCGATATGTGTTATGTGGTTTGTGTGTGGGATATGCTATGGGGGACTCACTAAGCATTCGCTTACAGTTTGTGGATTTGTTTCAGGATCATCTGATTCCAAGGGCAAGGGCAAAGCTTGATGACGTGGCGTGCACTCTCTCTCAGGCGACTTAGGGGGCACTCTGATATTCGAAAATAAAGTTGTAATGAATATGGATTTGAACAATTGTTTTGGAAATTCCTGATTTGTGGAAATATGTTTGGTTAATTAAAAATGAAAAATTTCTTTGAAAAATTGGGTTGTTACAAAATGAACTCAAACTCTAGATTTAGCATTCTACTTCACCAAATGGATATAAACACATGTATGGTTGTCCGCAACCATCAATATGCTAACTTTATGGACTAGGGACCTCAAAACATCAAGAGAAGCAACTCCTATCTTCTGGAGTGGAAGAATTTCCACTAGATCTCATTCATGGGACCAAAAATGACCAAAACTCCATAAAGACTAGATCTAAGCATACAATTAACAAGTTCCATGCTTTATACCTCAATGAAGCTGGAAATGATGAGTAGAATCTGGATCCACAAGCTCTCCCTTGATCAAAGCTCCTTCTTCCTCAAAGCTCACCAACACACACTAAAACACACACAAAGAGGGTCAAATCTTCTCTATAGGGGCTAGGGTTTCAAAATGAGACTTAAAGGGTAATGGAGGTTGAGAAATGAGGGGATCATGGGTCATAATGTTGCTTAAATAGGGTCCAAACCCTAAAAATTAGGGTTTGTCCCCTGGGTGCATACGCCCAACGTACCCTCACTTTTCCGAAAATGGCAATAATACCCCCTAGGGACCAAATCTACAAAAAATATACACATCAAGGGTCAAAATGAAAAGTACCTTGAATTGGATGTTACAAACTTGTTTCTAATAAAAAGAATCTCAATTTCGTCCATACGAACAACCGGTTGTGTAAAAAAATCATAGCAAAATCTCAATAAAACATGTCAAAAAATCAAATTTCTTACCTGATAACTATAAGGTCACCACTCTTTGAAGAGAACATCCATTTGCAGAATCATGATAAATTAGGAAACCCTTGCCACAACTTGAAAGAAAAGATGAAAGCTTTTATTTGACACATAGTTGTGGTGATTTTCTGGTGGCTATGTAGCAAATAATATTTTCTCACATACGATAGTTACTTGCTAGTTTCCTTTTCTTTTATTATGTTAACGACGACACTCTTAATGGAAGGGATGAGAAAGGACTTCTGGTTGTAATATCCCAAAAATCAAAGACAAAATTTTCATTTTTAAAATAATTCCAAAATCCATAAAGTACATAAAACCATAGTTTCCAAAAACCATAATCATGAATCATAGTATCTCAAAAATCAATAAGTCACATAAAAATCCAGGATGTTGCGCACAATCACGCCTTCGCCTTGCCCCTGTCCTTTGATGTACCTGAAACCATAAAACCAGATTGTAAGCCAAAGCTTAGTGAGTTCCCCCAAAGTACCCCACACAACAAAATATATACACATATTGCATGCTGGGTCCACAGTCTCCCAACTGGATTACCCTCGACCCACAACCTCTCGACTGGATTGCCTATCTGGCCCACAGTCTCCCGAATGGATTGCCCCTCTGGCCCACAGTCTCCTGACTGGATTACCCCTGGGTTTGTTGGCTTACAACACAAAGCAGTACAACCTCAACCCACCCCACACTATGTCGATATATGTAACAGATAAACATATAACCAACAAGTACATGTAATCATACATACCTACCAATCTAACATATAACCAGCGAATACATGTAATCATATAGATCTACCAATCTAACATAACATCATCCTATGTAACATGATACATAACCTAGTGGGCCGACATTGGTGCCTTCGACCCTCGAGTATTGTGAAAAAAACTCACCTCAAAGTCTGAAGGGTAGATGAACTTATCACTGCTCCCAACACTGCCTCTACAGGTCACGTATACAATAAATAGTGACCAAACCTCAATCTACTACTCAAATTACTCTACTTGACCTAAAGTCAAACTTGGTCAACGATCAAAGTCAACGGTCAAATGTCAAAATCCACACTCTAAGGTTGCTCAACCAGTCGACGCGTCGTGACCATGTATTGGCCACGTTGTGACCTAGTAAAACAAGTTAGTCTCTGTTCCATTCTCACGCCGTGAGCCATAAGCTCACACGTCGTGAGAAACGCTCTGAATAACTTGATGAAATAAGCTCTTATTCCTTTCAGACAACCAACCAAGACTTCCAGAATGTCTTATCTACTTCAAAACCTCATAAAGATCGTGGCTTTTTAGGCATACATGGCCAATACATGCCTCAAACACAATCAGGGTCTAAAATGGTGCAAAATAGGATCAAGATCTCATGCATAAGCTCAAAACTCTATAAAACTCCAGATCCATGACCTTAATCCATAAAAGGACCCTGTGGATCCATAAAGTTGGCAACTTTATGGAACCCTAACATTCTCGCAAGGCAAAACATGAAGAAAAACCACGGAAAACCTAGATCTAATTACTTGGAATCATAAAACAATGAACTTTGAACACTCACAAGGGTCCAAAAGGCGAGAAAGGATGGTGGTGAAGCTTACAAGCTAAAATGGTGTACCAAATGCTCTCTTCTTCTTCTTTTTTGCTATAAATCACCACAAATGAACTTAAAATCAACTATGAGGATTATGGTTTCAAGGGGGAGTGTGAGGAGGTGATGGAGGCTGAGGGTGGGTTAACCCTAGCCCTCAGTTCCTTTCAATATGGGATAAATCCCCCAAAAGTAGGGTTTGCCTCGCAACCATGTCTCACATCGTGACCCATAAGGCTTACGTCGTGAGTCTCAAAGGTGATGCACGTTTTGAGATGCCATCATGTGACCTAGGTTTAAGCCCAAAAATTAATTTAATAACTTAACAAGATGATTACCTGAACTGGATTAGAAAGGAAGAAGGTGAGCTTGGTTTTGGGCTCAGAGAGAGGGAGAGAGAAAGGTGGGATAGGTGGGCAGTTTATTTTTATTTTAAATAAGAAAATAAATAAATAAATGGAAAAAATAAATCATAGATGTAAATCAATCTTTTTAGTTTGAAGATGATCAAATCCACACCAAATCTACAAGTTCATAACTTATTGGACCAAATCCAAAGAAAATAAAAAACCAAGGACCAATTTACAATTTTTTTTAAATAACAAAGAAAAAAAAGATGTAGTTGCATTATTTTTCCAAAACAGAAGGACCAACAGTATCGATCTTAGCAATTTCAAGGGTTCACATGTTAAGTTCATTTCTCGTCCAAGCCAAATTCTGGTAAACCCCTGATTTCTCACGACGGAGATTGTATAGTTGACACTTGATAGAACTAAACATGGCGATTGCTGCTCTCTTTCAGTGTTTTATGCATCAGTAAGATGACTAGAAAGCACACCAGACCTCCAATGGAGCTCGATCTAGACGCCTTCTTGCAATCACACGACACCACGGGCAGTGACGACGATGATCAGCACCACGGCAGCACCGTCGATGAACTTCTCCTCATCGACTCTGATGACTCTTCTCCTTCGTCGTCTCCCCGATCGTACCCTATCTCGCATGACGTAAGTATCCCCCAAAGCAACACTAGTCCAGTTGATGCCAATTGCTCTGATTCCTCGCGACTAACACCTCCCCAATTAGTAAACGATAGAGATAGACAATCAAAGTTTCGTTCAATTAGTCAAATAAATTCAGGCGACACTTTCAGTGTTTCACGACAATTGCCTCCGTTATTCGGTGCCGTTAGGTCGAATGCTAAGCCTGGGGCTGCCCTTGCAGCCGCTGCAGCAGCTTCGCGGTCGATTCCGACCCCACATGCGGCTGCCATTAAATTGCGAAGGGAGAAGTCTAGTATGGAAAGCTTGGATCCGAAGGCCAGTATTGGTTCTGAATTATGCTATGAAAGTGGCACAGGTTCAGAAGTTAGTCATTCAGATGCGAAATTATTCGAGGAAGATCTTAAACTGGAGAATTTAGAAACCGCGCCAGTAGAATCCACTGGAAGTTTTGAAGTCAGTGGGGAAGTAAATCCTGGAGATGGAAGTAGGAATGGGTGGAGAATTACTGATGAAGATTTCCCATGTGAGGAGATGAATATAGATATGGCTAAAGCCTCAGAAGTGGATAGTTTTGCACTTGAGTTTGGTGATGATACTCGTAGTTCTGCTGCTAAACCACAGATTAGCTCTCCTTTGAATAACGAGGATGGGATTAACAGTACCACGTCAGTTTTAGATATCAGTAGTAATGAGCTCATTGAAGGCAACCATACGGAATCTGCACATATTTCTACCTTATCTATCGCGGAAATGTTCCCTTTTTCCCATGAGCACGTGAATGCTAAAGAGGTTGAGGTATCATCAGAAGGTACAAAACTCCATGAAAATAATGTGGAATTTGGCCTCCAAGCAGAAGGGGATGACATGCCAGCACAAAGTGATGTTTCTGTTGGCATGGACGGTATTCTCCATCAAGAAAATGAAAAGAATGATGGAAGGACACAAGCATTGAAGCCCCTTCAATTTGCTGAGGAGCTTGAAAAGAAGCATGCTTTTACTGGTTTGCATTGGGAAGAAGGTGCAGCTGCTCAACCAATGAAACTTGAGGGTGTTCACAGAGGATCAACTGTGTTGGGATACTTCAGTGTCAGTACTGATAACACCATCACCAGGACAATTTCTTCTCCAGCATTTAGGCGAGATCATGGAACCCCACAAGCACTAGCAGTTCATCTTAACTACATTGCAGTGGGAATGTCGAGAGGGGTGATTGTTGTTATTCCCAGCAAATACTCTCCACATTATGCTGATAACATGGATGCCAAGGTTCCATTTACATGTACATGACTCTTCTTCTGTGTATCGACCTTACCATCTAAAAATAACCTTTTATATTTTCAGATGTTAATGCTTGGATTACAAGGTGATAGATCTTATGCCCCAGTCACATCCATGTCCTTCAACCAGCATGGAGACCTCCTTTTTGCAGGATATGCTGATGGGCATTACACTGTTTGGGATGTCCAGAGGGCCTCTGCTGCAAAAACTGTCACTGAACATAAAGCTCCAGTAGTACACATGCTATATCTGGGGGTGGATTCTCAAGTGGCTCGTCATTTCAACATAGTTAGTGGTGATAGTAAAGGTGTGGTTAAGTTGATTCGCTTTTCTTCATCTTCATTTTTCAATAGGTTCTCAACTTCTAAAACCTTGGTAAGTCCCTTACCTTTTGTCTGTATGTACTTGATTCATGTCTATCATGCCTAACTGTTATCAATCAAAATAGACACTTCTTGATGAAGCAACAAGCACGGTTGTTTGCGCTTCACCTCTGCTATCAGAAGAAAGTTCTGGAGGTTCTTCCAGCATTCCAGGAGACTCGACTTTAGGTGAAGAAGGTGTGGTCATATTTGTCACTCATCAATCTGCTCTAGTGGTATGGGTTGACAAAAGACTACATGCATTGCATTGCATAGTGCATACCATATCTTATTGGTCTTTTTGTAACAACAGTAGCTGTAATTTATAGGCAAAAGTCATTTCCAACACCCCAGAAGTTTACGCTCAACTTCCTAGGCCTGATGGGGTCCGCGAGGGTTCGATGCCTTATACTGCTTGGAAATACATAGCCCCTTCACGTGTTGGTAAGTTACAAATGGACCATATTTCAATCTTTTTTGGTGATATCATATGATGATACTTTCTTTCAGTTTCAGATAATGTACAGCTAAAAGAATCTGAAACTGCTCCACTCCTTGCAATTGCTTGGGATCACAACGTACAGGTTGCAAAATTGGTCAAGTCAGAACTAAAAATACATGCAAAATGGACCCTCGAGAGTTCAGCAATTGGGGTAGCTTGGCTGGATGATCAGGTAGTTTTTTTCTTAAGAGAAACATCAGTTTGCCAATACTCATCAACAAAGATGTTAATCACAGATGTTAATGGTGCTGACATCAGCTGGACGGCTGTGTCTGTATGCAAATGACGGGAGTTTAATACATGACACAAGTTTTGATGTTGATGGAGGGAGAGGAGATGATGTGATTGGACATCACACCCATTTCAGCAATGTAGAAAAAGCTCATCACAATTGTATAGCTGTGAGGGGGGCTTCTTTATATCTTCTTGGGCCCACACATCTTGTGGTGTCCCGCCTTCTCCCATGGAAAGAACGCATAGAAGTTTTACGAAAAGGCGGTGACTGGATGGGTGCTTTCAACATGGCAATGATGTTGTATGATGGTCAAGCCCATGGTGTGTTTGACCTTCCTAGAGCATTGGAAGATGTGCAAAAGACAATAATGCCCTACATGGCTGAGTTGTTGTTAGCGTATGTAGATGTGGTTTTTTCTTATATATCAGTGGCATTAGGCAACCAAAAAGAAAAGATGGATTCGGAGGGTGATAGTGTTTCTGTGATAAAAGAGCAGTACACACGTGTTGGTGGTGTTGCAGTTGAATTCTGTGTCCACATCAACAGAACTGACATCCTCTTTGACCAAATTTTATCCCGGTTTGAGTCTGTTCAACAAAAAGGTACATCATTCATTATGCATAAAGTCTTTTTCCATTTTTTCTTTTTATTTCATCTGTATTCTTTAAATTTTGAGTAGGTGGGGTTCACGTTTTTGACTATCAAGTTTCTGGCTCTGGCTTAATATATATCATGCAGTTTTTAACTTTTTATATTTAGAGTGAACTGCAATTTTGCTCCCTGAGTATAGATTTTCTTTTTGCAAATTTGGTCCTTATTTGAGGTTTTTGTAACGGTATTGGTCCCTGCTCCAAGAAAATCTGCTATGTTCAGGGACCATAAATAAATAGTCATTTTACTTGGAATAGAAGAACCTCAAATGAGGGCAACATTTGCAAGAGAAAACTTTTTGGGATCAAAATTGCCTCTCATATGTATGTATATTACTCTTCTGTTTTCAGAGACATTTTTGGAGCTTTTGGAGCCATATATTTTGAAGGACATGCTTGGATCACTACCACCCGAGGTATTTCTTGTTTATATCATTAGTTCAGGCATCATGAAAAATGTTATTTCTGTGAGATATTTTTTTTTTACTTAAACAGCTATTTTTTCTGTTATTGAAGATTATGCAAGCACTAGTGGAACATTATAGCACAAAGGGCTGGCTACAGCGTGTTGAACAATGTGTTCTCCACATGGACATATCTTCCTTAGACTTCAATCAGGTATACATTCATGATAACTCTTATAAATTTTCACAGCTTTTTTTTTTATTCTCTAACCCTAATATACTTATCCTTTGTAAAAATACTTACACTTTGACTTAGGTTGATTTTAATATATAAATTTGATGGATTTTCTCATTACTGTCAGTTTTGAACTTGTATGTCAGGTGGTGAGGTTATGCCAGGAACACAATTTATACGGGGCCCTCATATATTTGTTCAATAAAGGTCTAGATGATTTCAGGACACCTTTAGAGGAGCTTCTACGGGTATTTAGAAACAATGATAATGAGAATGCTCCATCTCTTGGGTATGTCATGAAATAATCATAATTTCTAAATTCAAATTTTCATTCATGCCTTAGCGCTTTTGTAAACAGGTACAGGATGCTAGTTTACTTGAAATACTGCTTTTCAGGCCTTGCTTTTCCTCCAGGTATGCTTTCTATCTAAACATATAACATATCAAACAAAAGGCTTTATAATTGCTGATTTTTTTTTTTTTCTTATTTAAAAATGTATTTTCAGGACATGGGTCTCTTTCCCCTGCACGTTTGCCTTCTCTTAGAATGGAGCTTATAGACTTCTTACTAGAACATTCTAATGCTCCAAGCACATGGGGGTTGACAAACTTATCATCAACAGAAGCGTATAAGAATCTCTATCATCTCCTAGAATTGGACACTGAAGCAACATTGGATGTTTTGAGATGTGCATTTATCGATTCAACACCAAAGGATTCTAGATCTCAAAGTCAAGATCTGATTCAAAAGACTGTAGATGTTCTTGCTCTTGTTATCAAAACAGGCAAAGCTATTAGCACATGGCCTTCAAAGGATGATACAGGTCGTATACTTGAGTTTATTTCTCATTTTGTGGCCTGTGGAGAGGCTAAAATCTCAAAGGAATTACTAGGTCAGATATTCGAGTATTTGACATTAGATGCTAGCATTCCGCCAAATATTGAAAGCAAAAATAACGACATCTGTAAAAAAAGAGAAAAAGAGGTCCTAGCACTTTTGGAAGTTGTCCCAGAGACAGATTGGGATGATAGATACTTGTCAGACATGTGTGAAAAAGCTCACTTTTACCAGGTTCTAACCATTCTCTCTCTCTCTCTCTCACACACACACACAAAGCGGATTGCAATATGTGCCTAACAGTTGAGTTCATGTATTGATATAGGTTTGTGGCTTCATTCATAACAGCAAACATCAATATATAGCTGCTATTGATAACTTTATGAAAGATGTGGATGAGCCAATTCATGCTTTCTCCTATATCAGTAATTTATTGCAACAAAACAACGACAAGAGGCCTGATTCTTTGGAGGCTGCAGTCATTTCACGAATCCCACATTTAGTACAATTAAGCAGGTTTGTTGTTCTTCTAGTTGTCCCAGCTTTTTACTCTTAGTTGCTTTTTTTTTTTTCTCGATCAAGTCCTGTTAACCTTAAGTGGCTGAGTGGGTAATGATGTTTGTCTGGAAAAAATGCTGTGTACTTGAGGCTGTTAACCTTATAGACTGAATAAACCCTATGGAATGAGAGAAAATGTTCATTTTATCCTTACATTTGAAAAACAATTTTTACATATTCATCGATTTAATGTGAGAGGAGTTGGGAGGAAAAAATGACAAATAAGTAAAGGCCTAAAGGGTGCCAAATTTTTTGGCTTAACCCATTAGGTCCAGATTAAGTGGTTAACCCATTAAGCCCTAAGTAAAAAAGGAACAACCCCATAATGCTAGGAAAGTTTCCTAATTATATGTTATGACAAACTTTTGCAGAGAGGGGACAGTTTTTCTAGTTGTCCAACATCTTTTTCAAGAATTCCAACAAATCTTACTGGACCTTAAGTCTCACCCGAAAAGTCTCTTCCTCTACCTTAAAACAGTTATTGAAGTTCATTCAAAGGGCACCCTCAACTTCAATTCTCTAACAAAAGGTGAACCAAGGGTAGAGAATCAGACTGACAGACTACATGATTTCTTAGAAAAAATCTCCGACTTCCCAAAGTTTGTACGTGAAAATCCAGTTCACATAACTGATGAAATCACTGAGATGTATCTTGAGGTAATTGACCTTTTTTTTTTTAAAAAAGAAAAAAAAGTAATTACATTTTTGGTCCTCGAGTATAGTTGATTTTTGCAATTTACGTCCCAAAAAGTTCTCTTGCAATTTGGGTCCTTATTTGAGGTTCTTGTAACTTTTTTTTTTATTCCCGTTTCAAATAAAACAACAATTTTGGTCCCTGATTAAGTGTGATTTTTGCAGTTTTGGTCACAAAGGACCAGAAATGTAATTTACTCTTTATAATTTTACAATGTTGGATCTGAAGTAGGGTGCCGTTTTCATGTGCAGTTGCTATGTGAGTATGAACCCAAATCTGTCCTGAATTTCCTTGAGACATGTGAAAGCTATAGGGTAGACCATTGTCTACGGTTGTGTCAAGAATACAGGATCATAGATGCTGCTGCTTTTTTATTAGAAAGAGTTGGAGATGTTGGAACTGCTCTTTCATTCACACTTTCTGATCTCATGGACAAATTTCACATGCTTGATGCTGTTGTTCAAAGTGTATATGATTTCAATGCAATCATGAAGAAGAAGGAGGTCCATTGCTTTTTACATTATTATTATTATTATAAATATATAAGAAACGCAACAATATAATATTCGTTTGTTTATTAATTGTAGGTAAATGACATACTATATGTTGTGTATACTTGTGTCGGACTGTGCCAAAGAAACAGCTCCCGGTTGGATCCCAATGAGTCTGAGGCCCTCTGGTTTCAATTGCTTGACACGTAAGCCACCACACACACACACACACACACACAGAGTTTTAGATATCTTCCCACACCACATGGTGATATAATAATGAGTAACTTAGTGTAGCTGATTTTTGCAATTTTGGTCTGTATTCGAGGTTCTTGTATAGTTTTGATCCTTGTTCCAAGTAAAAATGACTAAGCTGATTTTGGTAGCAAAATATAGTCATCTTACTTGGAGCAGGGGCTAAAAACCTCAAATAATTGCAAGAGAAAACTTTTGGGGAGCAAAATTGAAAAAAAAAAAATGTAATTTGTGGTGTGTTAATTGAATTGCAGATTTTGTGAACCGTTAACAAATCCAAATCCAGGCGTAGGTGGAGATAAGAAGGATTGTGGAAGTAAGTCTAAGTGGAAGATCAAAGGGTGTGATGAAGGTGGTGACATATTGAGAAAATTGTTTTCTATTTTTATTAAGGAGATTGTTGAGGGAATGATAGGATATGTCCGGTTACCAACCGTCATGATGAAACTTCTCTCCGATAACGGTCATCAAGAATTTGGTGATTTTAAGGCTACTATACTTGGAATGCTTGGAACATATGATTTCGAAAGAAAAATTTTGGTAACCTTTTATTCAATTTACATTTTTGGCCCCTGAGTTTTTCAATTTTGATCCCAAAATGTTCTCTTCCAGTTTTCGTCCTTGAGCTTTTTGTAACATTTTCCAAGTAAAATGGCTATAGAGTAGATTACATGTTTGGTCACTGAGCAAATCTGTTTTCAATTTTGGTCCTAAAAAAGTCTCTTGCAATGTTGGTCCTTATTTGAACGTTTTGGTCCCTGTTCCAACTAAAATGACTACTTTTGGTCCTGATTTTTGCAACATTGCTCCCAAATAGTCATTTGACTTGGAACAGGGAGGGACCCAAAACGTTACAAATAAGGACCTAAATTGCTAGAAAAAAACCTTTTGGGATAAAAATTGACAAAAAAAAAAAAAAAAAGAGACCAAAAATGTAATGTACTCGTGACTATATTTTTTGGGACCAAAGTTGCTAAAGTCAGGTATAGTGAGGAGAGGACCAAAAAGAAGCTCAAATGCTTTTTGGGACCAAAAGGGGAAAAATGTAATGTACTCTCATAAATCCAGGACACTGCAAAATCTTTGATTGAAGAGGATACGTATTATACGATGCGATTACTTAAAAAGGGAGCTTCTCATGGGCATGGCCCACAAAGCCTTCTTTGTTGCATATGTAACTGTCTACTTACTAAAGACACTTCTGCCTCTGGAATTCGAGTGTACAACTGTGGCCATGCAAGCCATTTGCATTGTGCACCACCGGGGACAGGGTCACGTACAAGTGGAGGTGGTTGTCTCATTTGTATGCCAAAAAATAAGGGGATAAGGTCGTCTACTGAAGTTGGCTTAGTGAGTAGGCCTTTATCTAAAAACAAGTCTTCGCAGGGGATTGGTGGGGTCCATCTACACCTACACCTACACGAGACCGATCCACTTGATCGTCAAATATCAAGGGTGAGTGCACTGGATACTCATACTCATACTCATACTCATTACTCATACTCACACTTTGTTTTGTTGTAACAGTATGAGATATTGAGTAATCTTCATAAACAGAAAGAGAAGAGGACGATGGTCCAAGTGGATAACATTCCACAGTTGAGACTTGCACCACCGGCTGTTTATCATGAAAAGGTGAAGAAAGGAGTTGGTATGTTGAGAGTGGGAGAAAGCAGCGATGGAATTGGAATTGGAAGTCAGAAAAATACGCAAATTAAAGATCTCAAAAAAACTAAGGGATCGGGTGTGCGCTTTCCCCTAAAATCAAACATATTTGGTATGTTTCTTTTGTAGTCTCTCTGTTTTACGTAGACATTTTTTTTTTTTTTTTTTTTTAACGTTCATTGCTTTGCTTTTTTAGGTAAGGAAAAGACCAGCAGAAGGTGACATGCGTAACTGCTGTTGCATAAGTTATATCTAACATAAACATAAAGTCGAGCAAACAGGCAATCTTACACATATGTTTCACCCCGGGATATTGATTTTGTTGTATATCTTTTTTGTAGTCTTCATTTGTAAAAGTGTGTCTAGTCTAATGTATACTGTATAGAGCGTAGAGTTAATGGAGGAGGCATCTTTAGTTTCTTTGTTGTGGTGTGAATTGTGATTGACATGTATAATAATATTAGAACTTAATTCAGATGGGACACGATTAAACAATTTTGCATATCCACTTTGTCTTTGTAATATATTTAAAATATCTTCTCTATATCTTAGAACCAAGTTGAAGTTATCATACAAGGGTTCTGGGTATCATCATTTGTGATCATCGGCTGAGATATAAGTTGAAGTAAAAAAGACTATTGAAAATGTCTGCAGAATATGAGCTTGAAACAAATTAAAGGTCTAATCGGAACCATAATTCTATAGATGACAGTCCCTACTGGATAATAATTCGTTTCGCCCTTCTTGCATGGGGACTAAGCAGGGAAGTCACCACACCTTTAGAATCAAACTCGATGAAAACCCCTCTCCGTAACAACCGTGGCTAAACATTTTCTTCTCTTTGTATCCTAAACAGTCCCATTTTCTTCTCTTTGTATCGTAAACGGTTTGGACCGAGGGTGTTGAATTTGAACAATTTCTTGCTGAAAACTATTTGTACCTTGCGGGAAACCATTGTTTTAGGAAGAAAAAAATGAAGCTCGAGAGTAAGAGCAAATGTGACTTTGTAGTTGATATCAAATTCAAAGAAGTTTTTGTTTCTAAACCCTCTCATTCATCAAGAAGATAAACTTCAGTTTCACATTTTCAACTCCGATAATTGTGAGAACCTGCGAACTAAATGACAACCATTATATATATATATATATATATATATATATATATATATATATATATATATATATATATATATA